CACACACTCCTTCGGCACTCACCAACTTCCCGGACACGAGACATAATTTAATGTGAGAACATGCAGATTATTGCTATTATTGGGAAACACCTCAATTATTCACTGAGACTCACCTCTCCGGCCTGTGTTTCCTGCACCGGCACCCAAAGTGCTTTATGATCGTAAAAATCCATTTCCCAGATTTATTGTCGATAAATTCTCAATCCGCATGCAGATTATTTACGGCTAGTATAAATCCATTTGTATAACTCTTTATAGGTGATATGCAACGTGGCGATACTCTTTGCCATATATCCTCGTCTTCATTGAGAAGACCATCGCCTAATCTTCGGCCTTTTATGTCGAAAACGCACACAAGAAAACTGTCTTTCCACTCAATATTGGCAGCCGCGCTTCGCTTGTGCAAAACTATAAAGGATTTCAGGTTGTAACATTTGTCTTTCAGACCCTTAGAAAGTAATACAAAAACATTCTGGGGGGTGTTTGAAATTGATGAACTTTGTTCATCCATCAGAGAAGCACATTGTCATTAATCAAAGACAAACGCCACGATTATGACATTGGATCAGATTGAGAGTGTTCCTTGAGAAGTGTCTATAGAGTGGCCGCGATGATACCAAGTCTATAATTCTCTTGTAGTGTTAATTTCACAAATAAACACCCGTCGAGGAGATCACATTATCTCAGCCACTTTATTTCCCATCGACTTGGAGTCACTTTTAATTGAAGATTGCGCCACCCAATTGTCGCACATTCGACACGATCGCATTATTATGTGCTCATACTTGCATTTGAAGGCATGTTGCGCAACTTTCGGCAATCCTCCCTGCGATTTGCCTCCCAGCAAACAGCAAAATATGCGACAAACAGTGTCAGGAGTGTTCTATTGTGGATATTCACATCAAAATCGTGCCACTCGCGAAACCCCACAAAATTTCCACCATCGCCATCAAGATTGTGACGCATGTCATGATTTTTCACACTCAATTCGCGACGGATTATGATGAGAAAATTGCCAGGAGAAACTGTCGTAGCTCCGAAAGAGGTGCTTTTATGAACTATTTGGATCGCCAGCTTTGTGATCCGCCAACATTTATTAATCTCCACGATGGGCAATTCGGCTCAAGAGTCGCCAAAGTGTCGATAAACTTATCAACGAATCGCCCTATTGAAGCTCTCGAAGATGAGCTTATTCACTCCGGCCGGTGTGCAATAAAAGGCTCCATATCTTGGCTTTTTATTGACACTCTGACCACATTTCGTTACGAATTTTCATGGATCTTTCCGTAAATCCCACGAAATTACTCTGATGGCTCTTTGTGCGCCTCAAATTCCAGCGGGATCAACTCACTTTCTTGTGCCCAGCTGGCAAAGAGCGCACAAGACATCTCTCTTGCCCTCTCTGGACGCTTCTTGATGATGCGATGTGTGGGATTTTGTGGGTCAGGAATTTAATCTCTTGCACGGTTAACAAAAGTATCGCTCCAAATTGATCGCTGGTGAGGCAGCAAGAATTGCCAACAGTTGTCAGTTGGATTGACGCAAGCGCTTGACGATGGCATGGCAATCGATACGATAAGAACACGGCTATGATGACTAAATAATCTCTCAACGGTGGCGAATTCCATCGACTTCGCCAGGCAGATTGAATTCCGCACAAGAGCTATTGACAATTGATGTGATAATTACCCATTCAGAATTGATTGTGCACTTAATCAATTACGGGGGATCGCGCTGGGTTGAAGATCGCGCGGCATCGACTAATTACCTTTTATCGCGGGCGCTGCGAGGAGTGCTGGCGCACGATTCACTCTTTCGATGGATTGTAGCATCATTGAACTGTCAAATCGTGTAATTTAGATTGGTTGCACTTACAACTGGATGATGTGGCACATCTTATCCATGTCAATCAGGAGCCATTCCCCGCGCCATTTGCCAGAAGTCACCACGAAGGGCGGGAAAGCGACGATGAAGTGTGACACCTTCGCGCATTTCTGCCGGAAGAGCAATAAATTGTGCTGTGACAGGATTTTCGCACTTAGAACCACTTGTGGACATCTTGGCCGCTGCTTCCGCTCAAGTTCAGCCACTTGATCACCCCTTGCGATCATCCTCGGGCAGCATTAGAGATCCACGGCAGGCAGAAAGAACCAGTAGCCGAATGCTTTGTTGCACACAATGCGCGATGGCACATTGTAGATTAGCCATCGTGTGTTGGTGGATTTAGGGAGCATTAAATAAATTAACACGCGGTGCAGTGCCGGAGAAATCTGCCATGGGACTTGCGCAAGAGTGGGTAAATTTTATCTCTTCATATTAATGCCGAACGCCATCGACTTTGGCACGCATTGTTGCGAATCATGGCGATAGGCATCACGAGACTCTCTCTCCGCGAGAGTTCCTGGACCACGGCCGCGGAAGGCCTGAGCGGAGGACAGGGAAAAAAAGTTGCACGATGGCAATCGCACGTGTGGAATTCGCGGGGAAGTTTCAAGTGGAACGCTTGATAAGAGAGATATCACCATGGCGAAGTGCAGCCCAGCCAAGTGTGTGTGTCTCAATGCAAATTTCACCCATCGTCGCTGGGCTCTCGCGCACCAATTGCCATCAGATAGCGGCAAAATGTTGGCTATTAGTTGCCATTCTTCGCGATCAGCAGATTCATACCATTCTATATGCGTTTATTTGTACGAGGTGTGATCGTGATCGTGCTATGCGGGTTGATTGTGCCACTCTCGCGGCATACCTCGCTCTTTCTCTATGTGGCACGGCAAAATTTTCTCATCACACATTTCTCGCGCATACACATAACCCTTCTGCTGCCAAATCCACCAGATAAATCCCAGCCGAGAGGCGTAAATCACTCCCATTGACCCGCGCGATGGCAAAATTCGCACCGGAATCGCTCGAGATCATCGCGAAAAATTCGGCCAAACCAAAGAGCTTTGCGCTGACTGACTTACATATTTGCATCAAATCCTCCATATTCACAACTCATATCCTATGCAGAGGAAAAATGATTAGTTTTGCGTGTTTGTTAAAAAAAAATTATGCCTCTGAGACGTTTTTCTGAAGCCCTTGAAAGCAAAAATTTACTCTCAAGTGTTAAACTTTACAAGATATTCAATTGATTATTATTATTGTATGATGCCAAGCGAGAAAATTGCACATATGTTTAATTAATCTCACAGCACATATAAATGTGCAAAGTAATGGCATTAAACGCATAGAAAGCAATCTTTTGCTCATAATTAGCATCTGATGCAATTGATCTCACCATAGCAAACTGTCCATCTGATGTGACAGGTGATCGAGTTTTTATGCTCTCGAGACATGATCTAATTTCCAAAGTGGATAGCGATCATTTTTGGGCAAGTTTGTAAATGTAAAAATGCACACACATCGGCAAATGGCTCAAAAGGGCATGCGGAGTTTTTTTTCTTATACTTCTTCTTCTCTGGCCACAAGCATCTTTTCCTTCTCTCCAGCGCCGATATACTTTCGCGATCAAGTGATGAATTGAGATCAGCAGCAATAAATCCACCCATGGACAAGCCGCAAAGTAATCCACAATTTAAAGTCTCTCTCTCGCAGGGGATTTGCGATGAAAATGTACAGAGAGCTCGCTCACTGTCGCACATAATTGAAATGATATGATGACATTATGATTGACATACGACCCATGAGTGGATAATTTATAAATATAGCTCACTTTCATTCCATTGCGCGCAGACTTGATGCTCCACACGGTGTGCAGCGCATAAATAATTTATGTGCGTTTTGCTGAATTTTCTGCATTACAATTAATGGTTTTATTAGGCTTTGTGCATTTCTGTGGTGGCTTTATGGGTATCTCTCTCTCTCACTGTGTGCATTTTCCAAGCGCTAGATGGACTTTCCTCCGACCATTTCCACGGCGAAGATGAACAGCGGCCACCAGAGATTATTGGTGAGTGAGTGGACAAAAGGCAAGAAGAGGCCTTAAGCACCAATTGATGCCACACTTCTTTGGACATTGTGCAAAGAGAGTCCGTCCGACCGAGGAGATATACTTTATGTTGTCACCCAGCGCCATGAGATATGGCAAAATTACGACTCGCGCGATTTAATAAGTAATGAAAATCCTATTTAGATGTCTCATGGCAGCCAGATACGCCAGGGGTCACAATATTTATACGCCGCTTATCAAAAGTCACCAAAGACGCACTCAAATCTCAACTTAGCCCATTCTCTCTCTCTCTTGGCGACGCGCACAAGATGGCAAATGCAGCGGAGATTCCACTTTTCTGTGCCTGTGCCGTGAGGAGAAATTTATCCATTTTAACAAATTTGGTGCAAATTTATTCAATTTCTTCACCGCGCGCATCTCATGGCCAAAGTGGTGGCCGAGGCACACAGCAAGAGAGGCCTCTCCTCCCCAGTGAATGGTCAATTGAGCGAGATTCATACACAAGAGAGCATGAGTATGTGCATGCAAAATGAAGCAATACACAATTATGGGAAAATATTGGAGAGACATAAACAATATTTACATAAATAAAAACATCGATGCCGTGATGGTGCTTTCTTGCATCTCTCATCCACTTGTGCACAGCCAAAGAGAGTCGTCTTTGGTATGCACAGGAGCTGGAGAGACGCGGCGGAATCATCATATTCAAATCGATTTATAGGAAGTCAATTGTTCTACATGGCTGAATTGCCTTTTCTGGCCACGCAAGCCTCTCTCGCTCGCACTGCGAATGGACATTGATTTGTCATATTTATTTCAAATTGTATCAGACTGCCTATTCACCATTGTCACAAGGCTGCTCTGCAGATGGGAAAATGCAAAAAGGTGGAATTTGTCAAGGAGAGATTCCTCCGGCTTCTGGACAAATGACTTGCGAGCGCGTCATCTAATATCTCTCTGGCTGTGCAATGCTCTGCAATGGCCTTAGGAATAGTCTTAAAGATCATAACATTTTGTGTGCGCTGGGAAGTTAGACTTCCCAGTCATTTATTCAAATTTCTTGGAATGTGAGAAAGATGGGATCTTCTGGATACAGAAGAAATGTCATCCTCTTGAACCTTATCTGTTTGGGAGTTCTTTTGCAGAAAGATACGCGATACTTAAGCAAGATTGTAAGTAATCCCATCTTCACTTGCAACGCTGCAAAGCGGAGTCCTATGCAATTTCTAGGTCCTTGGCCGAAGCTTAGAAAGTGCCATGGATCAATTGGAGGTTCGGCGTTGGCGGCGAAGCGCTCCGGACGGAAAGAAAGCGGTTCCGGGAAGAAGTTTGGATCTCTCTGAATGGCGATGGCCGGAATATAGATCACCGTGCCTTGAGGAATGGAGAAGTTATAAGGAGGTGGCAACGAATAGGAATTCGACCCGTTTGTTGGCTCGTAAACCCTCGTCAAGGCAGGTGAACTTGGGTAGAGTCGAAGGGTTTCTGGAAAAACAATTGAATGATGTAGGAAAATTTCTCCGACACTCATTGACAAATTCGAATTACCTTGGAAAACCATGTGAAGATACTGTAAATTGTTAAAATTTTCAATATTCATCTCTTTCCCACTGTCTCTGAAGTCTTCTAGTTCTCTCCTTAGCTTCTCCTGCACATCCTGATGCCCGGCCAGTTCGTACAAAGCGAAGGACAGCGCTGATGATGACGTATCAAATCCAGCAACCAAAAAGGTCGCCGCTTGACCAAGTAAAAGATCGTTGTGGAAAACCTCCTTTTGGCTCTTCTTCATCGCATTGAAGATGTCGATCAGGTCATTTCGCACAATTCCACTCTTCACCCTTTCCGCCATCACGTCCGAAATCGTTGTCCTGAAGAAGTCCTCAGTTTCCTTTGACAAGAATCTCAGTTTGAAAAGTTTTGCAAGCTCAGGGAAGAAACAACATGCTCCGAATTCCAGAACACGCATAAAGCTCGAAGGATTCACAATTTCACGAATTTTTCGAACAAAATCACTATTTGGATTGGTTAAGGCTTCAGTTGTCACTCCGAAAGCACTCGTTGCGATCGTTTCTAGAGTGTAAAATCCCGCCAATTCCCTGGTGTTGATCTCTGCAGAACCTCTGGCAGGGATATCTTTGGTCAGTTTGGCTTCCAAACCCTTACAACTGTCTGAGATGAGCGTGAAGAAGTTCTTCAGCTTACGAGTGGTGAAAACGGGGCTTAAACTGCTTCTGACACTCTTCCAAATTTCCCCTTTCGCGGCCAAAAGAGAATTACTCCCGATTGGATCACTTTTAGGATCTGAAGCCATACGTCGGTTCATGAATTGGGGAAAATCCTTCACCACAATCCTCTTAATGAGCTCAGGATCACGAATAATGAGACAAGGCTTGTGGAAGAAATAGAATCCGATCAATGCGGCCTTTTTTCCCTTGGGATGATTGTAGAGATCCAACAGAAATTGAGGAAAACTGATTCTGTTAAGTAGAAAATTCTTAATTGCGCCAATCATCGGCGGTCCGGCGATGTATGGAATATTCCTGGATAGCCAATAATGCTCCAAATACTTTTTCAAGCCCTCCCAAAGACACAGGAGAACAATACTCGTCCACAAGATCACTTCGAAAGCACCCATCTTAATGCGTTTCACTAAATAATGCTGCCAATTCCTCTGTCTTTATATACCCTTCCTAATTAAACTGTATTTTTCTTTATAATACCTTTAAGTTTTATTGTCTTCACACTTATTTTTTCTTTGTTTTGAAGCTTGGTAGGAAGTTGCCTCAGAATAATCCGGACCTAACCGAGTTTTCCGTATCTTAATCGTCACAACTTACTAATTAAATAGCAAAAAGAGCAAATAAATAACAAAATGAGAAGGTTTAACGATCTTCAGCCTCCGATTGTATAGCTTCTGAGAAAAAGAGATATTGAATAAACAGACAAACAGATTATTCCACCATCCGAATTGAGTCTATTTTCTTCACCTTGCAAGGATCAGTCGAATTTACTGCAGATCGCTTTCAATACTTGTCCCAAAATCTTGGATATCAAAACAACCATGATTTCCTCAAATTTCCTTGGGCTTGTCTGTGAAAAAACTCAGCGAAATGATGACGAATATCGCATTGAGTCGCTTGAATTGTGGCGATTGTCTTGCCGCGTGCGATGCGATCGGTTAAGATCAAGATCGCGGTAATTACTCTTTGTGACACCGTAATCTCTCCGGTCATTGAATAGAACTTTTCATCATTGTCTCAGCAGCATGAAAAGTGATTTATCAGTAATTTTAGCACCAGCGACGCCATCGCGAGCCATAAATCAACACAGCGCGCTGAAGTCTCACGCTGCTTCACGCCACGCGCAAAATTTGCGTGTCCGCGAAGATCGCGATCAGGTGAACTAGTTGCGATTGCAAATTTGCAAATTTGTTCACCCGAGAGTCCATTGTCTGGCCACCAGTAAATTGTGCATCGCGCGGCGAAGGGGCAAAATTTGAATTTATGGCCTTCCAGTGTTACTTGCGTTTGGCGCGGAGTAAAAAAGATCTACGCCGTGCGGAGAAATTCCGCAGCAAGTGCATTTGGCCATAATTCAAGCACGTGAGCACACAATGCTCAAGTTCAATTGAGCGTAAATCGATGCTCAATAGTTGGAAGGCGAATGCAAAGTGCGTCTTTTTTTCTCTCTCCTCCTTCCGCCGCGAAACATTATTTATCTCCGTGGAAATTGTATTTGTACAACTTTGAGGCGACAGATTAGGGGAGAGCCAAGAAGTGCACGCATATTTGAGCGGGTTTATTTTGTCTTCTCCGCGCGCCGCACCGCGACTTAATGTGGCAGCATCGTTTGGTGCACTCTTAAAAAGTGTTGAAACGACATCAATGGCCAATGCCAGCAATTTTGAGACGCACAATCGTGGCTATCAGGAGGCATGAAAAAGGCCCCAATTGAGCATGTTGAGCGTGCCTTTTTCGGATTGCCAGCCAACTCGCATAAGCGTTCTGCGAGAATTTATGCTCTTGATCGCACACGAGTTCAAACTCAAGCGTCACGGTTTTATTTTCTCAGGGATTTGTCAAGAAAAGCACCGATTGAGAGTGCTCTTCAACCCTTACATTGTATGCACAGATGATATTGAATGTTTAACTGTATTGAATCAATGTCTCACAACTTTCTGTCACCAAGCAAAATCTCCTTTCGGCTCAAGAAGTTCTTGAATTGATTAGTTTCGTTTAGCAGCAGCCTTAGAATAATTGTGATTAACTCATAAAATCTAAATGAAATTCTAAACGATCACGAAATATTATCTCATAAGTGGATATAAAAAAAATCAATAAATTAAGCAAAACACATCGTAAACACAAATTAATTGACCACTTTTTCCGCTGATCTGTTTTTCATCACAATTTGTATCGAACTTACCTGGAATGACTTATTTGCCATTGAAAACATGAATCGTTGTCGAGTGGAACGGCGCGATTTTCTCTGTGTGCACTTAATTGGTGAGGATCACGAGTGGATTTTTTCCACGTTTCACAATTTAATGAACGTGGCAGAAGTTCCGGGATCAAAATAGCAAGGCAACCACTTGACTCCTCATCTAAATTCACTATTGGAGCTATAAAATAAATAGCGAAATCACCTGCTGAAGAGTCTCTTCATGTGCGATCAAGTGCACAATTTACAATTGTCTCTCGCGATCTCCTTCTCGGCTCTTCTCTCCCATTCAGTGTGAGGAGTTTCAACATGCGCGGGCTATTAAAAATCTGCTGAAATATTTGGTGTTGAGCCTGGAAAAAAAACGGCTCTTCAAGCTCGAGCGCAATAAGTTCATGGGTGTTCAAATGCAAGGAGTTGGGAAAGATTTCTCGTGAAAAGCTGATGTGTTTGAAGATCTCATTTTGGTGATTTGATGACGTTTTTTGTTTGACTATGTCTAACAAATAGATCCAGATTGTGAAGATCTCTCGAATCGACATAAGAGGATTGATGAGATCTCGAGAGATCGCGCCAAGGTGACTTCTTTCGAATTTAACACAGAAATATCCGCTAATGAGTTCTCTTTTTTTTTATGCAAGAGGACAGACCATCAAAAAATAAATATACGCACAAACAAAAGAGAATCATGAATTGATAAAAAAAACGGAATATATTAACATCTCTCATCTTTACAAAATATAAATCTGACATTATTCTCTTACACAGATTTGGAAAAGTGTATAGAGGAAAATGTGGGATATTTTTCTACTGTATCAAGTGGAATGTCTTGTATTTTTCTCTGGTTTTCCTTGTAATTCACCTCGCGCTTCTCTCTGGTTGTCAAGCTGTGTGTGTGTTGCGAAATTCAGAAGATTGAGGATGAAATGTCAAAGTTATCAACAAATATCATTAATATCTTAACTGTCTAGGAATGCCTTTTCTTCAGCTATTTACACAATTCAATTCATAAGTCTTTTTTTTCGTCCATCTCCTCACAATATTCGAGCAAATTTCTACAATCGAGAGTGATTTGCGGCTATAGGAAAAATAATTAACAAATAAATACGTCGCACATCTCGCTTCTCCTCCCAACACTCAATCGAGGGTCAAGAGGCACAAATATCATTAACTAATTTCATCGGCAATTGTACACTCTCCTCGCTGATTGTCTATTATTTGTTTGGACGCGCACGCAACATGATGGGGTAGGTGAATAAATTAAGACGATCACAGGTCGCCGCCACAATCAGCAACCATTGAGGCATTGTCTTTGATCTTCCACTGGGGATGGGCACAGCGAGTGGCACTCCGAGCCTCTCGCGAGATCCAGAAATAGCCACAACTTCCGCATTTCTTATTGGGATTCGCCATTTGAGATTCTAATCTGACTCTCAAGACTGGCCATTTGAGTTTTTCCACATATATCTATTGCACACAAGCACAGTTTGATGAAGAAGCTCTCAAGAAAACTTAGCTTTTTTGATGCTCACGCGGATGTTTCATTCTAATGAATTGATTGATTCACAAAATTGTATTTTGGAATAATATACTGACCGAACAATTGTGGCAAGAATTTTGGCGGAAGTGAAAATCCCCAGGACGAATGCCGACAGATGCTGACTAGGCTGGCGATTTGTGCTTTCTGGCATTACGAGTATTTCTTTGTACATAACACAATCATACTGGCGTCTTGCGTCCCTCGCGCGGGACTGGGATTCCTCGTGGGGAACTGGCACTGCGTCCCAGGGCGGCGTGGCGCCGCCATCATCCGAGCAGCGGCGGATTGGGCGTGCGCGTGCACGTGAGATCCAGTGGAACTGGCTTCGACTGCTCCAGCAGCGTCACCGGCGACGGAGACTCCGTCCGGGCGCGCTTCCGGGCTGGTGAGTGGCACGGGGAGGTCTTCATGGAGAGATCGATGGGCTCCTCCTGCTCTGAGGCGCTAGACAGCAGCGGCAGGGCCACGCGCGGTGGCAGCTGCAAAGGCGGCAGGCGCAGGAAGGCGTCGGTGCGGCAGAAAGGCGACAGAGGCTCCACGCCGGGCCGGAAGGCCTCGGCCGCCCGACTGGAGACGGAGGAGTGCTCTGTCTTGGACTCGGCGCTGGCGCTGCCGATGGAGCGGCAGCTACCCTCCTCGGGATCGGCTGAGGAGGCGCCCGAGTCGCTGGGCGAGCTCGTGGCGCACCTGGAGGCGTCCGAGGCGCGCTGGCGCGGGTTCTGGCGGCTCCACGGCGGCATGCCCGAGTGCTTGAGGCTGAGGTTGGACAGGAAGTGCGCCGGGAGGAAGGAGGCGTTCGAGAGCAGATTCGCGCCGGCGTCACTGCTTGGCGGCCCGGCGCCCGTCTTCTGGTTCACCTGCGCTTGCTGCTCCTGCAGCAGGCAGTGGATCTTGAACCAATTGGAGCGGCGGCCGTAGCGAGAGCCGCTCTTGGACATCCCGACCACCAGACACTTCCTCAGCCGACACGCTTTGCACGCCGTCCGGTTCTTCTTGTTGATCACGCACTCGCCGTTGTTCTTGCACTCGGAAATCGACGAAAGGTTGTTGTACGTGCGCCCGAAGAAGGACTAGAAAGAGAGGAGAGAAGGAAAATGTGCGAATCTATAAATGTGAGACAAAATTGAGAACTCAAGACTGGGTGGAAGTTGTAATTTAATACATCAATAAAATAAGGGAGAAATTGAAGCCGCGCGCATTTTGCGAAAGAGAGACAAGAGTTCGAAAAACAGGCAGAGAAATTTCTTGCCTTCAGGACACCGAAAAACGCCCATAAATAATTGATGTTGCGTCCAATTAATTTGAACAATAAACCATAAATCCAGTGCCAGTGACTCGAGAGCTCGTTGGCATCAGACAATCAGAAAACGATGAGTTGAATGGAATGACGCGTAAATTCCACTATAATTCATTTTGTACCAAAATGTTTATTTAATATTCCACTCAACCCGCGATGTTCAATAATCAAGTGCGGGACTTTCGCGCTGGAAAAACTTCTCGATTTGCCCCCCGAGATTCGCGATTTCTGCGCCAAATTTTCGCCGCGGCAATTTGTCATCGAAAAAATGTCGCTCAACTCAACGTGCTGGCATTTGCTAAAACATTCTTGCACTCTTAATTTCTTCATTACGTGCACTCGCTTAATTGCAATCTGCACTGGGAGATAATTGCGCGCGGTTGACGGAAGTCGAGCGACTGCTTGTCATCGCGCGCGGCTCCCAAAATTAACTGGTTTCCTTGGGCGAATTCTAAGAACAAAACCCAATTCGCCCCAGCCAATGGTGTCTATCTGAAAAATTGAGAAAGGATTTCCCAATGCTCGCTCAAAGCCATTCACTCTGCCGCTAGATTGAAGATCGCGGCGAAAAAACTGACAATGTTATGTGGGAACTTCATGTGCTTTTTGCCACTTTTTTGCGCACAGAAACACCAAAAGCAATGACACGAATTCACTGTCTTATTATCGCTTCCCTGCAATTTATCAGATCCGCAGAGTTCGCGACTTTTGTTACTCTTTCAACACCATCCATCACTGTGATCCTATTCCGTGGCCGATTCATTGCCTCGGCGATTGGGAATATATTGTTGATTTGTTGTTCGGCAGATTGGAATTGCCTATATCACTGCCTCATGATTTCACAATTTTCCATCTTGCAATGTTGCGACTCGATGATCGCCACGGGGTCAGCATGGGAATCACACTTTGCGGTGGGAGATCGTGTGAGATTCCTCGCTGAGCTCGTCGCAACATTTTTGATACAAATCTGTCGTCTCCGGAAATTCCTGGGCGTTTCGGGTGGATTTTTGCAGGTGTCTTCTTGCGAAACACATGAAATGCAGATTTCTCTTCGCGTTGACAAACGAAGCGCGCATTTCTGAGTCAAGGGGGAGAAATTGTGCCCGAAACGATCCCTAATTCACTTCGCTAAATTATCTTAAAATGAACAATTAGATGTTATAAATTGTCTTAAATTTAAAAATATATTTAAGAGCTTTTTCTACAGCTCAATCAAGATTAAGATTAAATTATAAACAAATTCATGTAATTGTTCAACACTTTGTAAGACTTTGACACAGCTGCACACCATTTCTGGCCACAATATCTCCCCCTTTGCTCTGAGTGCAACTCAGAGTCAAAAATGATGGTGCGATAGAGAGTTTATTGCCCATGATTTAGTCATATCGTAAAATGGAACAATTAAAATTGTCTGAAGTCACTGGCGTTGTCATCGACAATTTAGCACTCTTGGGCTTTTATGGATCACGTCTTGTGGCGAAAAATCGCGAGAGATTTCAAGAGAAGGTGTGGCTCCTTTTAAGCCTTTCAAGTGGACAATTTTGTCGATCGGAGGACAGCTTTGCCGAAGTAAATCGCACACAGTTTCTTGTCACTGGAAGTTCCCACATGAGAAGTGGCGAGAGAACTCTGCGATGCGATCAGCAAGCCAAAGTCATCTATAAATCATCCATGTGAAAATGTGTGAGATATGAAAGAAATGATGCCCTCTGCCCTCCATCGCGAGGAAATTACCACTGATGAGATGTCTAAAATGGCTCTCTTGTCTTCGTGTTCGCGTTCATCCTCACCTTCCCACACCCAATTGAAGTGTGATCTAATAAATTTCAATCATTACCATTTCCATATCAGATCGTGAAGGTTCGATTGTGATCACAAAAACGCTTCCCTGCGGTTTAACACGATATACAAAGTCGAAAAATTCTTCCACACTCCTGAGATACAGTTCCCGAGAAGCGCTCTCATCGCCATTGCGCCTCTCTTTCTTTGGCAATAGACGGCGGTGAGAGAGACGTGTCGAATGTAGGCCATTATATTGACGAGTACAATTCTCACGATACCAAAAAGTGCCACTTTCTGTGGCAATTGCACTGCGCTCTAATCCCTCCCCCACGACAATTCCAACCCAGGCGACACGGCATCTTTATTGATCACTGGATGGCAATCCAAGGAGAAATGTGTCCCCAGAAAATCCACCTTCTTTTCGGTTGATCTTTTTATGACACAATAAAAGCGACTAATTAGCCGATAAACTCGCCGATTTTATCACACTTTCAGGTCAAACAATCAAGTGTGAAGGAATTTCCATATTTCTCAAAATAGCCAATCGTTACTCCAGCTGTTACAGCGCCAACATTTCGCTGGACAAAGTGTAATGAGATTTAACGAGGCAGTCAGAAGGGTAACCATCAAATGCATCTAATAAAACGATTATGGGGGACTTTTATTTTGGGATATATCACACAATTTATGGGTGTTTAGTCAACACAATTTATACTAAATGTTTCACATCATGCGACCGACTATAAAATGAGGCCGCCCACGCGATCAAGCTGTTTCTCAGCCACTCGCGCCTCGCCGCGTGAGCAGGTGTATTCTGATATGACATCTCTCGGCGTCTTCGCCCAGGAGATTGCCACAGGTGGGCTTTTGCCAAATTTTTCCGCGAGTTTCACGACTCTTCGGGCATCGTTTGGCTGAAGCCAAAGCTCCTGACGTCATTTAATCACAAGTTAAATCACGCGACTCGTAAATATAAACACAATATGTAATGAAATCTGTGCGTAAATGTATCGAATATCCAGATTATGTAAGAAACCCAAGAGAGAAACAATTTGCCCATTTGAGAGAATATAAATTTCCAAGGAAATCACTTATTGAGGTGATCTTGTTGTGGCAGAAATGCTCCTTAAACCAGTGTTTTCTTCCACAAAACTCACGAAAAGAAAGTTCAGCATAGATTTTTAAAAGCTTGCCATGAATTTTGATAGAACGCTATAATTTGCCTTAAGTCAATTTGCAGATCCAGAGGAAGCTCAGTAATCTGTCGCGAAGACAATGGTCAATTGCTGGATGTTTGGCGAAAAATTGAATCCCCAGCGGTGAAACCCACACGCAGCCTCACATGGCGCAGGGATTCTGTGCTTTGTGGACCAGAAAGCACGTGGAGGAGAGTCGATCAGTGGGTGCGATTGCGAGAGTGACACAAATGGTGAATTATGCCAGCGAGCGGGCGATCAAATTGACCCCAAGGGAGCGAATCCGGCGCACCAGAGAGATCTGCTAAATTATTTGAATCAGACAAACATCCTCGAAAGACGTCATGTTGAGGAGAATTCTGGCAAATCTCGTCTCATTCTGCCATGATATTTATGACCAGCAACACAGACTTTTATCCAACAGAAGTATCTTCGTCACTTTGGCCTTCGCTTTTTCAACAGACGACTTGCCACTTTGCGGATATGCTCTTCCAGAGAGACGAAACTCTTCAGGCCATCGCGCAATGATATTTCTAATTCGTCATATTTTTGGCTGACGCGGCAAAAGCGAGTATAAGATTCAGTTGAAGAACCAATTCTGAGGTCTCTCGAGGGGCGTGAATGTATCATTTGAATGCCCGCGTGCAGAGCTATCGAGATGACTTTTGCCCATGAGTTTTCCCATCGTCATTCCAGTGCGAAAAGTCCGCGCTTCGGTGCAATTTTGCATTCTCCACGCAAAGAAATGCGCCTTTGCCGTGCGGAGACGCGAATGAATGCCAGAGAATCTCCGCCAAATCATGCGATAACCACACCTAGAGATGTCATGTTGGGGGTTACGATGGCGCAGAAAGAATCCACATCATCTCGGGCCAGTATCTTCCGGTTCTTTCATGCCCATCGCACAATGTTACACACAATTGTGCAGAGAAAACAATTTCTGCCAAGAAATATTTATGCAAATATTACGGCCATTTTCAACAATCAATGCTCTTGGCCTGAGAAATGCCCTCTTAAACATTCCTGGCCACTCGGAAAAATTTTACGACTCTTTTACTATTGCAACATGAAATGGTTCACGCCAAAGGTGTTAAATTTCTTGTTTGAAATTCAAATGAAAAGTTGTTGCAGAAGCGCGAATTGCATGTCAAAGATATCATTCAAGCGTTGTAATGGGAAAACTCTGTAAGAGAATTTTCTTTTCCTGCGCAGCGCTTTTAATTGGAAGTTCTAGAGATATTTTCTGTGGAAGATGGAGCAAAAACCTTCGTCGGCAAATAGTCCGCATTAATATGCGAAAAGGAATTTTTCACTGTCGAATAGCAGAGGCATCAACATAATGTTGACATGAATATAAGAAGCGACAAGTCCCAAGACGCACGTACCAACTCTAAAAGGCAATAAGGTGACTTTAAATTCACCACGATCACCAATATTTTTATTACGGAACGTGCGTAATATCAATTGAAATAGTTTCAATCCAGTTGCGAGTAAGTACGCGACAAATCATGCTTATTTCGACCTCTCATGGGGATCTTCGCTCAATTGTCCATCAAGTCTCCCCAGTTTCTTGTGCGCGCTTTTTTCTCCACCTCGCGATATATGTATGTTTTTCCACTGTGATTGTCGCTTGACGATGTCTTGACACGAAAATTAGCTTCACCATCTCAATTTCACGGCGCACAGTGAAAATCTTCTGCTTTTCCATGGACTCAATCTGTTCGTCAGGTGGAAAAATTAACAAATAGGCATTTCGTAATGACAGCGAAAACCCGTTTCCATATCTGTGCCAGCC